GGGGCTTGGGAAGGGGAGGGACCTCAGCAGGGTACACAGCCATAGAGTCCGCCCTCCAAAGCAGCCATTTTCTCCAGAGAAATTTATCTTGGTGATCTGGAGATCAATTGTAAGAGCAGAAGATCTCCAGGTACTACCTGGAGGCTGGCAACCCTACTATTAATACATAAAAACTGTATCCAATTACTATGGAATCTGGAGTTCAATCTGTACAAGAATATTTATCTATGTATTTACTTCATTTATACCCAGCCTTTTTCTCCATTGTGACCCTTCCCATTCCTCACACCAATCCTGTGAGGTAGTATGACTGGTCCAAGATTACCCACTGAGTTTCCATGGCAGCATGGGAGTCAACTATGGGGGTCCCAGTCTCCCAGATCCTAGTCTGACACTTTAACCACTATGCCACACCAGCTGTCCATAGTCAATACTCAGGTCTGACAGTTCAGTGTTTAAAAGGGTATCATGGAACCTCACAGGATGTAGACACTAAGAGGGAGGGCTTTGTTGGTTCTGCTTACTTGAGTCAGAATGTGCTAAATTCCAAATTTGTGTTTAAATAACAAGAGGAGCACATTTCTAATGTAAAGACACAACCTGGGCTTCTAAACAAATGTGACCTGCAAGAAACTAGTATCAAGTGAAATTTGGCATATGGAACATTGTAAATACAGCTGCATAAAAGCAATCAAAGAAACCACATCCGGTTAAACAGTCTTTGCTGTCATGAGGTATTTGCACACAATGAAGGTGCTTTACATCTCTGGATTCCTTAGGATGTTTTTTTTAAAAGTTCTCTTTGATGAGTTGAGGATTAGAATGCTTGCTTTACAACATGTGGATTGCTGAAACTAAATTTCAGTGGGCTGCAGCAAGAAGAGAAGTGGGAAATGCCCATTCTAGAAAGGTTGGATACACACCAGTATGTCCAAATCAGTTCTTTCCTGAAACAGTTTTATATGGTGCTGTATAATAATTCCACCATCAGCTATTGCTATTACTGACTGATACCTGCTATGGATAATATTTGTTTGTTTTGCCATCTTATATGCAATATCCATGTATAGCACTTTAGAATCGTTGTATGATTTTATTCTTTTTTTAAAAAAAATTATGTAAGCCACCCTGAGCCTGCCTCAGCAGGGAGGGCGAGGTATAAATAAAAAAAATGTCTCCTATATAATAATCCTTTTGGGGTGGCAAGATTCCATGCTCTCCTTCAGCTATTGGCCTGTCAGCTGCCACTCAAGAGTACTCGCGTGCCATTGGCCGGATGCTGGATCTGCTCCTCTTCCCCACCCACTCCCCCTTCAGCCACTGTGCCCTGTCAGAGTTACTGGCAAACAGCTTTCTCTCTTGACAAAGATGCTTTTCCTGTGTGGGACTAACTTACCCCTCAGTGGCTGTTGGTAGGTGTCAAAAATGGCAGTTACCTGTGTTTGTAAGACAACTGTGGTTATTTCTTTAAAATGTTCCCCCATAAGGTTTAATTGAGCTGTAGTTCCAGAGAGCGGCCTGCAGGGGCATCACTCACTGGGTTGAATGGGGCTTCCTCATCTGCTGGTTTACAGTTCCCAGCTACCCCAAGGCCAAAAAGTGCAGGAAAACAGGGACTGTCCCAAGGCAGTCTTTGTCCCTGGGAGCAGCAGAAGTTCAGCCACTCCACAGTCAGCTGGACTGGGGAATGAATGGAAGTTTCCCTACTCTCTTGGGCAAGAGAGAGAGGCTGAAGTACAGGTGAGCCCACAACCTCCAGAGGTAGAGTATTGTGTGTGCAGGGAAAAAGGATTGCGTTTAACTCCTGTTGATTTATGTCCTGTTGGCTCATAGTGTGTGCTTACTCCTACAGTGTATGTGTGCTCCATAACTGTGTAAATAGTTAAATAAATTCTTTAATTGGGGCTAATAATCTTTGTTGTGCTCTGACCACATAGTCTCCCCCACTCTGCACAATACTAAAGGGAGGGGGTAGCCCAGGGAAACAAGGAAAGGCCAGATCCTTGGGTTGCCAGCTTTCCAGGGATCCCCCAGATTGGGGATTCCATCTTCAAATAGAGAGATTCGGCCAGAGGAGTTTCACTGTCCCTCTAAAAAGGCAGTGATGATTCCATGAATGGTGGCAGCGAATTTAAGGAGTGAGATACGCCCACAGGACGAGGGTGGGAGGCAAACAGCTGAGTTGTAAACTGGAGCCCGTTTTGCCATAGTAGGCAACAAAGCTTGGTTCAGACAAAGGAAACCCTTTGCAGGCCTTTGTGAGGAACTCATTGGAGCCAGTCCTGAGCTAGGGTTGCCAACTCCAGGTAGGGAGATTCCTGGAGATTTTCTGGTAGAGTCTATGGAAGCCAGGGTTTGGGAAGGGGAGAGGTCTCAGCTGAACAGAATGCCATACAGCCCACCTTCCGAAGCAGTTATTTTCTCCGGAGGAGAGCTCTGTTGTCTGGAGTTCAGTTGTGATACCTGGTGATCTTCAGGCTTCACCTGGAGGTTGGCTGCCCTAGGCGTAGCAGGGTCTGCTATATCCAGGTTCTTACTGTAGAAACTGAGTGGGTGATTTTGGACCAGTCAGACTTTCAGCCTAACCTACCTCACAGGGTTCTTGTGCAAGTCAAAAGGGGGAGAGGAGAATGATGTAAGCTGCTTTTGTTCCCATTGCAGAGAAAGACTACTTTTCCTCCTAGGAAACCATTGTTGCCAATCTCCAGGTGAGGGCTGGAGATCACTCAAAATTACAACTGCTCTCCAGATGGCAGAGGTCAGTTCCCCTGGAGAAAATGGTGGACTCTGTGGCAGTCAGGGCTTCAGGGCATGGAGGCTGAAGAGAGAGGGGAAAATAAAGGTAGGTTGATGGTTGGCTGTGAAGGAGACAGGGTTGCCAACTCCAGGTGGGAAATTCATGGAGATTTAAGGGATGGAACCTGGAGAGGGTGAGGTTTGAGGAGGGGTGGGGCCTCAGACAGGTACAATGCCATAGACTCCACCCTCCCAACCAGCCATTCCCTCCTGGGGAACCACTCTTGCCAATCTGGGGAGGGGGTGGAAATCACTCAGAATTACAGCTGATCTCCAGGAGGGAGGGGGGAGGAGATGCAAAGCTGAAATCAGAGGGGCAGATAATGACAGGTTGGTGCTTGGCTGGGAAGGAGATAGGGTTGTGAACTCCAGGTTGGGAAATTCATGGAAATTTGAGGGGTGGCTCCTGGAGGGTGAGGTTTGAGGAGGTGTGGAACCTCAGACAGGTACAATGTCATAGACTCCACCCTCCAAACCAGCCATTTCTTCCTGGGTAACAATTGTTGCCAATCTCCAGGTAAGGGCTCTTCAGGTAGCAGAGATCAGTTCCTCTGGAGAAAATGGTGGACTCTGTGTCATTATACCCTGCTGAGGTCACCACAGCACATTGATGCTGAGTGCCCAAGGCCTTGGCACTCTCCTAGAGCCTCTTTCTAGAGCTCGTTGTATTAATTTCCACAACGGGCCTTATTCCTAGTAATAAATAACTACAAAGCAAGCCATAAGCCACCTGCCTGATAAGGAAGTATTCATTCCAATGTTGTATTGTCCTGCCTTAGAATTCTTCAGGACCCTTTGATATTAACAACAGTGATGAAAGAGGAGCAGGCTCACATCTTTT